TTCTTCAGCCGGCTTTGCGTGTTGCATACAGAACGGGCTCTTTGCCCTCCTCTGACTCTCTTACTGAATGGGAGTCAAAGAGCCGTACATCTGCCTGTCCAGAGAGCAGATGTGACCAGCATAGAGGGGTGGGGGCAACCAGAATGATGAATGCCTCGGTGCAGACGTGGAGCATGTCCGTGACTCCCCTCCTGTTCATACACAAAGCTGCGCTTTACTTTACAGACGAGTCCTTTAGAAAATGAAACCTCCCATAAAATCCTTGCACATTTCTCTGACAAAAACCTTGTAGTTTAAAGTGCATCTAAATCCAAGAACAAAAATGTAATATATTACAGCTTACCGTTCCTTAGATTTAATGGCTGCGCTAGGATTTCCCCCCCTTTATTTTCACCTGGTTATCCTACCAGTAATACACATCCTGGTACATGGTGACAACGCTCGCTCACTCTACTGCATCTGTGGAGGAGCAGCGTTGTCACTCTAGGGTAGGAATTGTGTTAGGGCTATAGAACACCTGCCCCTTTCCCATTTATTTTTAACAATAGGGGGATTAGTAGTATAGAGGTGAACTGGGCAGGACTAATGACACTGTTTGAGATTTCAGTGCATCAGAGAACACAAGTTACAAGCTCATAGGATTTCTAGCAGGATCACACATCGCCACATACACACTGGAATATCAGCTGATCGGCTAAAAAGCTGTTTCAGAAGATAACCTCTAATCTGACATCCTGAGGCCAAACATAGATCTTTGAGGGCTGCTGGATGTGCGCTCAAGATCATCTGCTCTCAGGCACCCTTATCCCTTTTAGATTGTAAGCCCTCAGGGGCAGGCCTCTCCTCACCATCTTGTCTTGAATTATATTGTGATTGTAATGTCCTCCTTATATTGTAAAGCGCTGCGCAAACTGTTGGCGCTATAAATCCTGTATTATAATAATTATTTCCTGATGCTGTCACACAGGAAGATCTTACTCAGCTGAACGCTCCTGTTCTTGTGAATGCAGGAAGGAGGAGGAAAGCAATACTGGTAGACACTCCTGGTGGTGCTTAGAGGACTTCTACTGTGGAAAGTGTGCCCGTGAAAGACAAGACTAGTCATCAGTATTGCCCATGGTCTCCCCAAAGCTGTTTTTTTCCAATTACTAGTTACTATACCTTGTCATGCATTGTCTCTTTGTAAACGTGTCCATGTTGGTGGGCTGAGGCTTCCTCAAGTCAGAGGCCGATAATTGGTAATCTGATGACTGGTGGGGTACTGCCTTAGACAGGAGCAGTAGGGGTCGAAAAACACAGATCCACAAAATGATTTTAGCAGAAGCAGGGAGATCCTTGCACTGCAGGTCCTCGGGTACAGCTTCCTCTCCTGCCAGGAGAACAGTAGTGACATCACCACATCTGAGGAGACCAGCAGTCAGAGGTCTCTGATAATCTCACACTGCAGATGTCCAGCTAAACGGCTCAAGGCACAGAAAGTGCACTGCTTTTTTATAGGAGGAATTCAAGGTAAAGGCACATTTTAACATTTTCTAGAACTTCCCTATAACATCACAAATCTATATCCTAAAGTTGGCCTTAAAGGAGAACTATGAGGGGAGTGCTTTTCACTCACCTCATAGTTCTAGCCGACCTGTGACATCGAGACTGTCACAGGTCGGTTCAATAGATCGGGAGGTGAGCGAACACATACCGGCGTTCGCTCACCCCTCGATCCTGTCACTGCTCTCTGCCGTGACAGGGGAGGGGCTTGATTCCCCTCTCCCCGCTCCGATCCGCCAGCGCTGACTGGCGGAACGGACGGGGGAGGGGGTGGGTACAGCTAGCTCTGCCTCTAGATAGGCAGAGCCAGCTGTCAGTCACGCAGCTGGGCGGATCCAGACATAATTGTCGGGATCCGCTTCAGCTGCGGCGTCTCAGTATACCGCAAGCAGCAGCTCGCGGTATACTGCGGCGTCTCGGTATACTGAGCCTAGGGTGACGGGAGGACGCTAGTTTGTGTCCTCCCGTTACCCTAAGGAGAACTATGGGGAAAAGCCTTAACCCCATAGTTCTCCTTTTAATACAAAAAGTTATCTCTGAAAAGACTGGATTGGGTGTCAGTCCTATATTGGACTTCATCCTTCCAACAGTCATTTAGCAAGAGTGCTGCCTGACATACAGAAATCCGCATGCATATCTAGTGACACAGTACCAGTAGGAAGACGAGACTTGGCAGGCAAGGAAGGTTAGGAAAATCACAGGAAAAGATTACATAATGGTAGATTTTAGACTTTTGGGGAGTTTTACTTTTTCCCTACAATGGAGGACGGCTTTTACAAATGTGGAAAAATACCTTTCAACCTGCAAATCAAAGTATTTCCATATTCATGACTGAACTCCAGGAATTAAAAATCAAAAAAAACCTTTTCAGTGGGTCCCCTGGCAATGCAAGGGTTACATTTTTCCTTAAGTCTAGGGGTAGAGGAATAAGCTAAAATACTCTGGCAGGCTTCTGGCGCTCCCCTGCTCTCTCTGACACTATGTGAGCCCGGTCACACAGCATGCCCAGAATGGGGCTTTAAATATGTCCCCAGTGTTTTCTTTGTCCTGTTTCTGGATCAATGACATCAGAACAGTATTGGAGTATTTCCTTTTTCCTTCCTCTGAGAGCAAAGTGGACTTTTCTTCTTAGATCACAAGTGGTGTTTGAAGATGAAAGGCCAAATTCAATAGACATCGAGTCTTTCAGCCCATTAGATGGGTCTCTGTCAATTCAGATGTCTTTTTCACATGGTGATATCAGTTGTATTCCTGGCTGGCTGCAGGTAAATTACCATCCGTTTACTCAAAGACATTATTTGGGGTGCAAGGTGGGGGAAGGGATTGTATTTCCCCGCCGCGGCTGTGTGACTGGTGGGATTGTTGTTTGGACAATGTCTGCGTTATCCGGAGAGGGACACCGAGAAGTCAATGGCCAGCTGATGTCACCGGCTATTAATGGCTCCTGTGTTCCCCCGCTCGCTGCAGCCGGGATTGGGTGAAATAAGAATTTCTCACCAAGGTGTCATTAGATCAGAGCACCGCCTTTTGTTTGTAACAGAATCCGATGGAAACGTGATGACAATCTTTTGTATTCTCAACGTTTCGATTTTTTTATAGCATAAAGGGGGTGAGAAAAGAGCAAGTGGACGGCCCTACAGAATGCAGGAACGTTTCTGCTGTGCTCGGCAAACATTCACCGACACTTAGGACATGAACCTAATAGGATCCGGCCTTACAGATCTATAAATGACATATCGTGCTTCTGATTTATATGCAGACTGTTACCAATTATATACTTACAAAATTCCAGTTTCATACTATGGGTGGCACACCCCAAAAAACGGGTAGCATATGTGTTGGGGGGGGGGTCATACCCATGAGCATCACTTCTGTAATAGACGGGCCTGTAAAGTCAACGCAATTCGTGTAGTACATCCGAGAATGACGCGGAATCCGTTCCTGTCTTTAGTGTGCGCTCTGCCACCTGGTACGAGAGGATAAAGCTTTCTATCTTGGCACGGGGTTTGTTAGAGCGTTTTGGGGTCAGCAGTCAGGTGACCACATTCCTGAACGCAGCAGCATATTTGCCAATCCCCGCAGGAGCCCGGGGTCCGGTTTCTCACAGACAAGAGGGAACTTTTTGTTTCTCGCGAGGGACCATTATGAATACATAGTAGGTGGTGCCCGCAGATTGAATGGTTGGCACCACTGTGTCTCGGAGGGGATTAAAGACGCAGGACTTGAGAATTGTGCCCTTTGCTGAGCAAGTGTGGCTCTGAGCAGTGAAGCCCCTCTTATGAATGGTCGGGGAGCAAATCCAGAGCTTTGCTAGAAACCATGTGAGTTGTAAGTTGTCTGCATATCTCTATACAAGCCATATCCATTTACCTACCCATCATCATCATCATCGGCTCTCTTAGTATATGATAGCTGAAACAGGTTTCAGGCTTGACAGGTATAAATTATATTATTAAATCAATAATTCACATTCTGAGTGGATAACTGACCCATGCATAGACTTCTGATGATTGAACAAGCCAACCAACCCACTTGTGTGCCAAGTGGCCTGAATGGACGTTGCTCTTGTAGGACGTCACCATGGACATATGCACGCAATTCTCATATAACCACTTCTGTCCTTGACGCTATATGGGCTTAAAACGCTGGAGCCAGAAGTCCATCTGTGTCAAATTTGGTCACTGCCATGGGCAGCCAAATCTGTTTTGGATGAAGCCACCCCTGTATCTAAGATCAAGCTGGCCATTGTGTAGCCACCATTATGTTTCTGAGAGCATGAAAGTCCTCCCACCATTCTACTCTCTAAATTTAAACTAGAAAAACCATTAAAATCCCAAGTGTTGAAATATATAATATTGTATTACAGAGCGCGCTGCATATTGGGTGCACCGGAGAGTCATTTGTTTTACAGAACACCGAGATAGTTAAGATCAAAGCCTAGAGCATTAGCATGTGAATGCCCAGTCTAATAATTGGCACAGTGGATGGCCGGGGTTCATGAGAGATCTCCTGTGGCGCTGGTGGCAGCCCCGGAGCACCACCCCGCCCAGATTACTGTGATGATCACATATCATCCAATGCCGCTCTGTGCCGGCTGAGGCGAAACTAAAGAGGGTTTGTGTTCTCTGAACTCAGATGGGTTGGATGTTTCTGGCTCTTCCCAGCTCTCATAGATTTCAGTGCCGAGCTGTCTGGTTGTCACGTTCTCTGAGCTCCCGGGATTCTCATTTCTCCAAGAATTCCAAAGCATCCTTATCACAACTTATGGAGGAGACATTATCTGCTTCATGGTAATCATTTCCCCGACTGAATTGAGTAGCAGCTGAGATTGGTGCAATCTTTGTGTTATAAATGCTTTTGTCCATTGAGCTTGGTTAAAATTTCCCATTGACTACTGCAGACAGAAACTATTCATGATCACCGCAATCTGACTTCTTTGTGTTTTTTTGTTCCCGCAGGCGTATGAATGGGCATTGGAAGGAATGCGTGGACTTGCCACCGTCAGTTTGGACGACTGTAATTCCCCGGAGCTGTGTACAGGAGCCATCGAGAGTCTGGAGAATTACCAGCTGCAGCATCCCGAGATTGCGGAGAAGAAATTCGAGGAGATGAGGGAGCTCGCCTATGAGCTGAAAAGCGACAAGGGAACCAAGCAGTGGAAGTTTGCATGGTCAAAGTGCCAGGAGGCCAGACAAGTGTTCGAGAAGAAACTGGAGGCGGCGCTCAGGGCTAAAAATGTACTGATTGGGGAACAGGCTTCTCCACGGTCAGTCTTACATAGGAGACGCCTGGGCAGTCTAGACCAGAAAGTGCATTCAGAAAAAAGCCCAAATATGTATCTCCAGAACAATCCCCTCAGCTCCCCACTCTGTGGCAGGGAGAGGAGGCTGGGCAGAGTTCTCTGTAACCGACCAGAGGTTGGGTATTCCATGGAACAGACGCCGTACAGGGCAAGCTCCTGCTCAAGTGGCAGCTCCATTGTCTCGGCAGATTTCCGAGTTCGAAAAATGTCTCTTCAGAGCATTCCCGGTGAGGATGTAAACTCGGAACTGTTCCACCAGGTGCCTTCCGGGTCCTCCACCCCCACCCCAGCTCGACCCATGGGGCGAAGGTTACTGAGAAAGGCTCAGAGCTTTGACCTTCCTGGAACTGACGCAGGGACTCACGGATGCCAAAGGAGACTGAGCGAGCCCGCTAGGCGAGGGAACACCGGAGTCTTCATTAAAGGCCTGGAAGTGAGCAGCACCGAGCATACAGACCGGACGTGCAGTCCTCGACAACCCCTGGACTGGTCAGCAGAGAGAGTACTCAGTGACAGGAGGAGCAGCGTCTCCTCGGCTGATGGGAGAAGCCGTACCAGGTATAAAGTCTTACAGTGACATGCTTCAGCTTTGTTGTATCATGTGTGTTCAGTTTTCTAGGAAGCTCATACTACAGTCATGTTGTTGGCTGCTTGTGACTTGACGAGCCGTGTCTGAACACAAGACGACTTCATATAAGGATACTGGTGGGAGGTAGAAGTCAGAAGCAAAAGCTCTAAAATGGCATATGGGCCATAACTGTCATGTACCCTTTAAAGGCATCATTTAAAAAAGGGATCCATGCAATTGAAGCATTAACCCTTGCAATGGGACTACCCCCACACTGCAAGGGTTAATTTTTCGATTGCCTGGAGTTCTCCTTTAAACCTTTTTAAGCTATGGATAGAATGGGGAAGGTTTAGAACCAGGATCTAGCTGTATTGCTGTGTCCCCACAAAGGTGATATAACATCTAGTCCTAGTGACCATTCTTACTGAGGAAAGAGACCTAAAAGTCAACATTTTCCAGTTGTCACAAGGAGTTCCACTCACTTCCTGTTGTGTCCCTGTAACAGGAAGTGAAGGCTCCCCAATGCGAGGGATGGGGGATTTTAATCCCTCTATGTTACAAAGCAGAAAATAAGTTTTGGTTGGAGATGAACCCTAATCCTGCTTTCCATGTCATTGCTAGCAAGGCCACAGTGCCAGCCAGTTGTACCATCAGGGTTCATGTGTTTTCATGGCAAAGAACATTATTCCACAGCAACCAATCAGAATCGGCCTTTCTCTGATATGACTTCAGTAAATAGAGATCTGGTTGGTGGAAGTCCCGGTGTTATCATTGCTCTTTGTAGTATGTTACTGAATTGACCTGATAGATGGGATTTATCATCACTGCTGCATCCGCCAACACGGTTTGTTCAACCCAAGACCAAAAATGTGACATGTTGCAGGCAGCTCACCCGTCCTTCGGTGTGTCAAAGAAAAACGGCATTGATTAGATTTACATTAGAGCCGGCAACGCATTGTGATAAGTAGATGGTGGGTGCAATGCTCTGGATCCTGCAGACTCTTCCTCCCAGCCCCTGTCCATACTGAGGTACGGCCTTTCAGTAACGTGGACAGGAGGACGTATCAGTGGCCAAGAACTCCAGTGACGTTGCTGCACTTTTCCTCCATTAAGAACAAGTCTCTCGTCTCCAGGTGCAGATGGGACTCGTAGTCTCTCCATTCACAGATCCTGTATATGGGTGGCGCGGCTATGCGGGCGATGTAACCACATTTCATAATACACCCTAATTATGGGTGTCACGTGACACATGGTTAGAAAAGTAAACTTGGCCTTTAAGCCAGATGGCTTTGGCTCAGAAGCTCTTCACAAGATGGGAACTCCCCATTGGGGGAAGCGGTCACCCAAATCTGAGCAGTCTATGGGGAGAATTTATCGAAACTTTAGCAGACAGAATCTGAACAGTTGCCCATAGTAACCAATCAGCTTCTCTCTTCAGTTAAGCTTTGAAAATCGAAAGAAGCTGATTGGTTACTGTGGGGAAACGGCTCCAGATTCTGATAAATTCTCATCTATGGATAGTTAAGCCAAAAGGAGTCCCGAATACACGTTCCAAAGGTCGAAAAGTAATGTATTGGTTCCGTAAGCAGCAAACGGGAAGAAAGGAAAAACAGAAGGTGTGCAACGCGTTTCAGAGGTTGAACATTTCCCCCCATAGCCTCTGAAAATAATTGTAAAACAAAAAGGCATGCAACGTAAATAGTTTTTTGTGCTCGGGGTAAAGATCCTGGAGGTAGCAATCTGAGCCAGGAGAGTCCTCAGTGAGTAGAAGCCTTTTGTTTTTCCCGTGTGACGCTCACAGAAGCATATTTCTCGACTCCTAGAACGTCTATTTGGAGCGCTTTTTGGCCCAACATATAATAACATGTCTGTCCTCGGGTGACCGCGCTCACTCACTTCTACTATATCTATGGAGGATCAGCAGCATGGCCACCCTAGGACAGAAAGTGTGTTGTGACTACAGAGCACCTCCTCCACCTCATGTCTGTCCTCGGGTGATAGCGCTCGCTCACTCACTTATATCTATGGAGGAGCAGCAGCATGGCCACCCTAGGACAGAAAGTGGGTTGTGACTACAGAGCACCTCCTCCACTTCTCATGTATGTCCTCGGGTGATAGCGCTCACTCACTCACTTATATCTATGGAGGAGCAGCAGCATGGCCACCCTAGGACAGAAGGTGTGTTGTGACTACAGAACACCTCCTCCACCTCTCATCTCATAGGGGAGAGGTCTTCTGAAGTCCACAGAGAGAACCGGGAACAATGCAAACTGATAAGAGTACAGCGCAGGAAGTTATCAGCTCACAGGATTTGTGGCAGGATCAATAGGTCTTCCTTTTTTCGGATAGAACAAATCCCGGGACAGATATCGCTGGTGTTGGCTACTCTGTGGATAGAACTATAATAAAACCCTTTCCATGGGGCTAATAAGAGAAGTTCATTGTTCGGGTTACATGCGCTGGGTGCAGAGAACTGCGGCCTGCTCCTATTTAGGGACATAAACAGCAGGAAGCCGACACGAATATACTGATGTGTTACTGGAACTGGTTCTCCAGACTTGCTGTCTGAGCGATGTAAAAATAAAATCTGTCAGAATTTGCTGCGCCGCGTCTGCTGGCTGTGCGCTGTGCGAAATGTGCTGATCCCGCCGCACTGAGCACAGTCTGTCTGACAGGCGGGGGCAGAAATCCTAAAGATGAAACTCACTTTTTAAAGTAGAACTCCAGCCAAAACTTTGATCAGATACAGCGCGCCAAAGGGTTTTGTATCACTGGCGGTCCATGGTGGAGATTTCCCATTGCTTCCTGTCCCAGAGACCTGACAGGAAGTGAAAGGAAATCTCACCTTTTATAAGCTTACTATTATTGATTACAGGTATTTATACAGTGCAGACGATTTCCGCAGCGCTTTACATACTGCACATTGATATCAGTCCCTGACCTGAGGAGCTTACAATCTAAGGTCCTGATTGTACATGCATACAGGAGCCAGCATGTCTTTAGCGTGTGGGAGGAAACCGGAGTACCCGGAGGAAAGCCAGCACAGGGAGAACATGCAAACTCCTTGCAGATAGTGACCTGGCCAGGATACAAACCAGGGACCCCCAGTGCTGCAAGGCAGAAGTGCTAACCACTACGCCACTGTGTTGCCCAAGTTGTCTTCCATGGAAGATTTCCCATCTAGTCCTTCCATACTGCATACACACCTAAAGGTTTCATTGGAACTCCAGGGAAAAAGATTCAATTAAAAAAGGAGCTTTTGCTGCAGCACTGACCTTCAATCCAGAGCTGCCCAATAACCTCCAAACCACCCGCCGCTTTTCTCACATGTTTTCCTCCACTAGATGCTTTTAGATTTCTTGGATGAAAGCCAGCATCAGCATTCAACCCACTTCCTCTGATCCCAGGTTGTCCTGGACCTTCCCCAGCCTGTGACGGAACAGTGAATGGAAGGTTAATTTGCCCTGTATGTATGCATGTGAGATGGGGACCTTAGATTGTAAGCTCCCTGAGGGCGGGGCCTGATGTGAATGTGCTGTATGTAAAGCGCTGCGTAAATTGTGGGCGCTGTATAAATACCAATAATAAATAAATGTCTAAAATGTTTACTGTTTTCCCATCTAGTAAACTGCGGCACATCATCGACGAAATGGTCTCCACGGAGAGGGAATACGTCCGGTCGCTGTGGTACATCACTCAGAATTATTTCCCTGAGATGGATCGCTTGGATCTTCCTCAGGATCTGCGAGGAAAGAGAGGCATCATCTTTGGAAACCTGGAGAAATTATCGGATTTCCACAGTCAGTATTTCCTGAAGGAGCTGGAGAGTTGCTGCAACCACCCGCTGAGGGTCAGCCACTGCTTCCTCCGACATGTAAGTAGCACGGAGCAGGCTATGTGACGGACCCCCGTACTCAGGATGAGTATGTCCGCCGCTGTCTTCTTCCTTGCTGAGGAGATCTTGCAACCTGAAGATCCTTAGCTCCCAGTTTCCCCAGTCACTAGCCGAGGCTTGAGTGCAGGTGAAACAAACTCTGCTTTATTGAGCAACTGCACAAACTTTTATACAGCAAGTGATCAGATCAGATTATAATCCCATCACATCCACCCTCCCCCTCCCAGACCATCGGTCTGCTCAACACCACAGGTGTCCACCTGCTAACGAGCTCCAGACAGCCATAGCAGGAGCCTGGCCAGAATGTCATTGTTCTGAGCTCCCTCAGAGAACAATGGGAGATAACGGGGGATGGTGCTGATAGTCTTTCCATAACCAGGTCACACAGCATAACGCACTCAAACATAACTCAACCCCAATACACATTTAACTTATAAACTCATCACCGTGTCGTCACAGGCTACAGCAAGCTTATTCTGTCTTCACCACTAAGAGCCAGGTCAGGCCTAATGCACTGGACGCATGGGGAGCAATGGGCAGGGATGGTGACACTGATTTGGATTTCAGTGCTGCACAGGATGCGTTGTCACCTCAAACAGGAAGTTGGGAGTTCACTCTATTTCTGGCAGATCAACAGCCCTGTTTAAGAGTAGATCTGGACAACACATGCACACTCCCCCCATGTTTTGGTATAGTGATGTCCAGGGGTTTGGTGTGAACCAAGGAATTCACCCAAGTGGGTCAATCATAGTTTTGCACAGCCTTAGGTGAACTCCTGGGTTCCCACCATGTCCCTAATCATCACTATTAAAGTGGCGAAACACGGGGGAGTGTGCATGTAGTGCACAAATGTACTGATTTCTTTTTTTTTAATGCCCAGGCATACACTGTACAATGTCCTGGCAATTGTATGTTGCTAAAAACATGGCAGAGGTTAGCGTTCCCCTTTTAAGTGATTTATTTTGTCTTTTCTTCCTACAGAAAGACCAGTTTGGGATGTACGCCTTGTACAGCAAGAATAAGCCAAGGTCGGATTTGTTACTTGCCAGCCACGGGATTATATTTTTTAAAGTAAGAGCCTTAAACTGCCTGATGACCCTTTGTACTTGCTGTACCCCGATGTCTGTGAAGGTTCCCATTCATCCAGGTCACATGGTATCTGTAAAAAATAAATCAAAGCAACTGGACTTGCTGTATTTTTTCTGGAAGACATTTCACATGTTATCCGACCAGCTTTCTCAATTTAGAATGAATTGTCGGAATTCATTGTCAGAATGGTCATTCTGAATTGAGAAAGCTGGTCGGATGACCCGCTAAACATCTTCAAGAAACATGCAGCAAGTCCAGTTGCTTTGATTTATTTTTTACAGATCTAGTCCTGGATGTGATGCGGATTCCAGTTGCCTTTCTTTGGTAGTTATCGAGTTTTTTGTTTCTGGTTTTGTTTAGAATAAACAGCGTGAACTGGGAGACAAGATGGACCTTGCTTCTTATCTGCTGAAGCCGATCCAGCGTATGAGTAAATACGCCTTACTCCTGAAGGATCTGATCAAGGAGTGCGGAGAGGCTCAGGAACAGGAGCTGCAGCATCTGAAGGCTGCCGAGGAAATGGTTAAGTTCCAGCTTCGTCATGGCAATGACCTTCTAGCCATGGATGCCATACGTGACTGCGATGTGAGTCCACATGAGAGCTGAATAGCGGTGACATACATACCGTAGTTTGCGCAAATCTTCCATTTTCATGTTGTTGTTATTATTATTATTATTATAGATATTTATATAGTGCCTGCAATTTACGCAGCACTTTACATAGTTGCACATTCACATCAATCCCCGCCCTTGAGGAGCTTACAGTCTGAGGTCCCTATCTCACATACATGCATACAGGGCCAATTTTTTGAGAGGAGCCAATTAACCTTCCAGGATGTCTTTGGAATGTGGGTCAAGAAACCAGAGTACCCGGAGGAAACCCACACAAGCACAGGGAGAACATGCAAACTCCTTGCAGATAGTGTCCTGACCAGGATTTTAACCTGGGGACTGCAAGGCAGAAGCACTAACCACTACACCACTATTTAACTAGTACACACCGAAAAAGGGAGTTGTGGGTTGTAATACTTTGCAAGGTTCTGTCAGACTCTGGCCATGTGCATGTCAACAAGAGCAGGAGGATGATCTCATGAGTGTATTGCTGCTCTTTGACCAATCAGCATGCTTGTGGTAGGAAGGTATTCCTTGTGACATTCAATGCTTTTTCTTATAACAGGTAAACCTGAAGGAACAAGGTCAGCTGGTGAGGCAAGACGAGTTTACGGTGTGGCTGGGGCGCAAGAAGTGCCAGAGACACGTCTTCCTGTTCGAAGATCTGATCTTATTCAGCAAACCCAAGAGGATCGAAGGCGGCCTCGATGTCTATATCTACAAGAGGTCATTTAAAGTGAGTGAAGCGGGTCTCCCTATAAATCAGAGTTGGATATTAAAGGTTTACTTTGCAGAGCCTTGTAACAATGTTTGATCACGAGAGCATTCCATCCCTCGCAGACGGGATACTAGGTAATAAGAATGTCTGTCTGATAACAATACAGAAATAGAAGGAATTCTCATAGCAGGATCGGCTTGTGGAAAGTCATGAAATCATTTAGAACTTCTGAGAAGATACAAAGTATGGGGGCAGAACTCGGTGCGATGTCCTATTTTTATAGCTCACGTTCTCGCTCGGCTCCAGACGTTATCTGAGTCTGTTATTTTTGCACGGCTATTTTTTTCTTTCTGCCATTAGGATCTTGCTGTGCGTGACCATTATTTGTTTCTGGTTGACAGACCGCAGATATCGGCTTGACGGAGAATTCAGGAGACAGCGGGCTGCGTTTTGAAATCTGGTTCAGGAGACGTAAATCCAATGACACGCACATTCTTCAAGCAAGCAGCATGGAAGTCAAGCAAGCCTGGACGAGTGACATCGCCAATATCCTCTGGCAGCAGGCGACCAGAAATAAAGGTGTCTGTCTATGCATTTATTTATATTGAGCACCGTGCATAGTTGCACATTCACATCAGTCCCTGCCCTCGAGGAACTTACAATCTAAGGTCCCCATCTCACATGCATACATACGGAGCCAATTTAGACAGGAGCCAATTAACATTCCAGCATAACTTTGGCGTGTGGGAGGAAATTGGAGTACCCGGAGGGAACCCAGCACAGGGAGGACATGCAAACTCCTTGCCAGGTGTTCTGACCTGGATTCCAACTGAGGACCCCAAGGCAGAAGCACTAACCACTAAGCCACTGCTCTGCCTATTCGTGATATTGTTTGGGTGTCCTTCAAGTGAACCTGTTCTTTGCACTTACAAATCTATATAATAGCCCCCTCTTGCTACATACCTTCTGCCCCCTCTTGCTACATACCTTCTGCCCCCTCTTGCTACATACCTTCTGTTCATTCACCTGTTAGAGGATAGAGAAATGCCTGTTCCATCTGGGTATGGGGGAGCATGTGACTTTCTCTGCTAACTAGATAGGAGATCCTTGCGGCACTCCTTACCGGAATTCCCATATGAATATAGAAGCGGGTGCTTAGAGTGACGCCGCCAGCAAACTGATAGTAGTGGAAAGTCACCAGCACACCAGGCCGATCAATAGAGCAAATAAGCGTCCATTTATTGACGTATGCCATCTCAGGGTCCCCTTCATCAGGCTCGGAGGCTTCATCTCTCAGCCTGATGAAGCCGTGTCAAGAAGTGTGGCCTTTGTATTTCTTGAAGTGGCTCTTTACTCAAATAAGGATACTACTATCCTGCCCATGTTGCTCCATTAAGGTAACAGCAATGCATAATATACCTTTTTGTTGTCCATTGAGGGACACATGAATTCTTAGACTGTGGGGTTATTCTGCCACCTACAGGAGAAATGGACATTGGCAACAATGAATTGGCCAGCACAAGATAACCCCGCCCACAACCATCATGCCTCAGTTCTTGACAGTATCCTCAGTAGATGGTTCGTGTTTTCTTCAGCTTTGCTGTTCCCTGTTTTGCTTCTGAAGTTTTACCAGCCGGGTATTCGGGCCTCATGACGGCTTTAAATATTCGGTATGTCGGATGGATTATTGATCTGTTTTCACTTCTTGGGCCTGTAAGCCTTTTGTTTCTGTGCTGCCCATCCCTCTGTTGCACTTTTTTGGGGATGTCCTAACAATCTAAGAATTCCTGTGTCCCTCCATGCCTGAAAAATAAAAATTAGGATTTTTATTCTCACCTTAAAATCCTTTCCCTGGAGTCCATTATGGAACACGGGTCCCTTCCCCCCATGTTTATTTGATGCTCTCTGTACTACTTTGCTATAAAACTGAAGCGTGCTGGTTGTGGGGTGGGGGTTATCCAGTGCTTTTTTTTGTTGCCAGTGTCCACTTATACTGTTGGGTTTTATTGCTGCCTACAGGAGAAGAATTCCTGTGTCCCTCAATGGACTCCGAGCAAAGGATCTCACAGCGAGTACAGAAATCCTATTGCAGAAATGTCTGCTCCAGGGTACCTAGGAGGTTCGTCACATGGCCTACAGCCTGAGCTTTGGTCATGTGACCTTAGCTGATGGGTAGGATCTGATTTGCAGGTAGAGCTGCTGATTGGCTAATTCTCCCTTTGAGCAGTAATCCCATAAAGAATGCCTAGGCGTTTGTTTGTGTCAGTAGTCTCTGTATGGTCTCAGAACTGCCTCTTCTACACATGGTCCTGGTTTAGGGGAGGTGACCATAACTAAGAACACATCCACATTAAAGGAGAACTATGGGGAAAAGCCCTAACCCCATAGTTCTCCTTTTTAATAGGTGTACTGTAAGAGGAACAGGGACCACGAGGAATTCCGGGGGTTGACCAAGACTCATGCTGGACATCGGTGCATTCCATCATCTATAGAACAGCGGGAACAACTTCCTTCATTGATTCTCATTGTCATATTTTAGTTATAATTTAGTTGTAAAATGATTTTTATATTTAATGAAGAATCTTCTTCCCCACAGAGGTCCGGATGCAGGAAATGGTCTCTATGGGTGTAGGGAACAAGCCGTTCTTGGACATAAAGCCGAGCGACGCAGCCATAAACAACCGCGCTATAGATTACATTATGAAAGGCCGAGGTAAGTCGCAATATTCCCTCCACATCTCTAGTATGTGGGGAAGGCTGTGCATATAAAATCCAAGGATGAAAGAGAAACGCCGCCAGTACAACTTGATCAAATATGGAGAGTTATTTTGAAGCTGCTGATATTTTTCCTGGCAGGGAGGAAATCCACAGGAATGCTTTGTACTCGATGTACTCTATCACTGTTATTAGTTAGTAGCCTGTGTTTAATTCTGTGTTTTGTGTTCATACATCCCACGGCTGATGCAGTGTAAGGAGCAGGTCATACTAGCAAACCTGTGACTGGTTACAGGATCACTAAAAACTGCAGACAAATACTGACCTGCTTCTGAGCGTCTCCATCGCCGGGAGGATGAGCTAGAGCACGGGTAGCCAAACTCCGGCCCTCCAGCTGTGGTGAAACTACAAATCCCATGATGCATCGATCTCCGGGAGTCGTGGCTGTGAGAATCTTGCAATGCCTCATGGGATTTGTAGTTCCACCACAGCTGGAGGGCCGGAGTTTGGCTGCTCCCGAGCTAGTCATTGCTTCCTGACAGAATTGCTGCATAATGTTCTTCACCAGAGAGGGAGCAACACACGGAAGTAGATATTTCACTCCCCAGTTTAGCCCCCCAATTCTGTGGATGCCGAGTTCCCACTATAAGACCACCAGACAGTCTCAAGAGTGCGGAAACTTTTTTTTTTACTAGTATTCACAAACTAAAACCTAAAACTGCAAACGTGTTTAGGGGGCTCAAAAAGGCTTTTGCTGATTCACGGATTCTGGCTGTACCCTATGCAGCAAAACATTTTATTTTGCATTTCAAGTACAGGAGATAAAACGCAAGGAAACAACAGACACAGGAGCAAAACAATTCTAGTTATTGTTAGAGGTGCACCAAAATGGAAATTTCAAAAACAAAACGGAAATGAAAAAAAATGTCAGGCGGAAACTGAATTTTTTTTTTTATTTTAACTTTTTCAAAAAAAATGTATTTATTCATTTTTATTTTTTACTTTTAGGGGCTTCTGGGAAATATTGGGGTCTAAACAGAACCCTTATATTTCCCTTTTAAAATAGAAAAAGAGATTGAGGATGCAGGGTCTGCAGTCCCTGTTATAAAAGAACAGGAATCCTCTATACCAGTGGTGGCGAACCTTGGCACTCAAGCTGTGCCAAAACTACAAATCCCAACATGCATCTGGCTCTGGGAGTTATGTCTGTGGCTGTCAGAGCCTTGCAATGCCTCATGGGACTTGTAGTTCCAAAACAGCTGGAGTGCCAAGGTTCGCCAACACTGCTCTATACTGAGTGTTACTGTCCATTCATAACATGAGGACAGAGTATGGTTACTATAACCACAATCATGAATGAACAGGAAGTGATGTAGATGACTTCCCATTCATTCATAATTGAGGATACAGTAACCATACTCTGTCCTCAATTATCTACAAACACTCAGCGATCACTGATCACCGACTGCTTGTACCCGCTCTCCTTTCTGTGTCAGTGAGCAAGCGAGCGGAGCTCAACCTGCTGTGACTACCCTGGCTGTTGCCGCCCACACCGTTCTCCTCTGATCTGTGACAGGAGGCTGAGTGGTGTGGGAGGGGGACACAACAACCCTAGGATAAAACATAACAGAGATGGAATGTACGAGCAGCAAAGTTAAAAGGATAAGGATAAGAAAGAGTAAACGGAAAAAAAAACAGAAAAGGGCTAAACCCCCTCTCCGTCTGAACACCAGAAGGCCAGCCACAGTCTGAAAAGTTGAGTAGGGCTTCCCTTTAGCGACCCCATATATTTCGTGGTGGTAGACCATTCCTTCCAGTAACATCAAGTTTTCCAGAACTGGTCATTAATCCCTCTGGAAGAGGCCACCAGATCCTCCACTCCTTCTATCCCATTGATCTGGTTCAAATTCATCGGAATGGAGGGAGGGCGAGGTTGTTTCCACAATGCTGGCATACACCTACGAGCCACATTAACGAGGTGTAGACTGATTTTCTATGATTTGTGCAATTTTTTCATGGTTACCCATTATGTATAAGCCCTGAAGCAGTGGGAGGTCTTTGAGCCCCTGAAACGCGTTGGCTATTCTATGTTGACATTTGTGAACCAATATTTAAGCTTGTGAGTTAATATGAACATTAAAGTATTTGACGCTCTTGTTTTGGTGCTCTTATTAGACTTTATACATGTGAAGCTTCAAATCTGAGCCCCCTTTTTGAGGGACACCCCGCCTTTTTTTTCGAGAAGAGCCTTACAAGAGCTCCTGTGCCTCATCACGATTGGACTGATCTACTGATAATTTGAATCGAGTGCCTTGTTTCTACTTGTTCACATTCTCATCAGTGACAGGAATGTTAGTAGGACAGGCCCTCGGTGCAGTGATCACAGTGCAACGCCCATAAGGGCCAATCAGAAATGGCCGGTACTGCAGTAAAGCGAGATAGATTTGGTGTGCTGTTTATTAGACGTCCACCATTGCTCTATAAGGCCCCGTTCCCACTGCGCGATATGCAAATCGCGCGTTTGTCGTGCAATTTGCATATTGCGCGATATCGCGAGCTTTGCCGCGCGACATCGCGTTCAAGCTTGCATTGAGCAAGCTTGAATTGCGGCTAAATCCGCTTCAAAAAGGGTCCTGCTGTAGCGACACACGACCCGCGACAGCAGGACCCTTTGCCCCATTGAAATGCATTGGAGCGCAATATCGCGCGGTAATTTGCCGCAATATCGCGGGAATTACCGCGCGATCACTCAATGTGAACGGGGCTTTACTGGGGTAAGGGTAATTCTCTGTATTCTATTGGACTGCACAGTCATATTTAGAGACGCTGCGCTACTGTGATAGGAAAGTGGAGGGACGGCTATGGAAGTGGAAGGTTGTTGGATAAACATTGTACTACTTCTGTGGTCTTTAGGCCAAGATCCAGGAGTAAATGGTTCCTTCATAAATATAACCATTGTCTTGTCTTCTAGGGGCCAGAACTCGAGCCTCCATTGCCGTGTCATTGTTTGATCACTCGGACCCTTATAAAAGAACCCAGGCACCCACCACTTGTACCTCTGTGCCTTCTGCCTCATTGTTGGGACCCCTGAACCTGCACATGTATGTAAACCAGACCCTTCTGCCTGGAGTCCTTTCTGTCAACCGGCCCTTTGAGACCAGCAGCTGCCTGGAGGAAGATGAGCTGGAGAACGAGACGAGCTGCAGCCAACCTTCCATGAGTAGGTGGTGCGGTGTTATAGCTTCCATTGTGTACCTTGTAAAAAAACATCGAGACAGTTCATGTCATTCTCTGGAATACATAGTCGGGAATTTATCAAAACTGGAGCAGACAAAATCTGGAGCAGATTTGCACTGCAGCCAATCGGCTTCTCTGTCTCATTTTCAAATCTTACCTGAGCGAAGTGATGAGAGGTGCTGATTGGTTGCCATGGGCAACTGCTCGAGATTTTATTTGCTCCAGTTTTGATAAATTCCCCCCATAGTCTTTAGAAGAGTGTCTCACCACCGTGCAAGCAATGCCGGTGAGTGCGACAGATTCACGTCCATGTCAAAAACATGATTGGGTTGCAGAGATAAGCCAGAAACGAACGCAGATTACTCCAGACTGGTCCTACTTCCCGCCAATTTCCTTATCTCAGAACTGCCGGTATTTCTTCATGAATTTGTGGCAGCCAGGTACTTGGTTTGATGTGACGCATATTCATAATGAAGTTTGCGCCACTCCTCTAAATGCTGCGATAACCAAAATGTTGTCTTTTCTCTCCCGTTCATTGAAGGACACAGGCAACAGATCGTAGATCCTGAATGGTAGGGTAACATCGCCACCTGCAGGAGAAGGACGCTAGGCACATAACTAAAGACCAATTACAGCCTAGGGGCGGACCCTGCCGGTGGCCAAACCCCCCACCTGCTGACAAGTCCCCAGTTTTTTGCCTAGCGTCAGGAGTAAGGAGCTGAAAATTTTTCTCTGAGGAATTTTTTTCCTTTCTTCCGTTTGACTGGATTTTCTTCTAGCAAGTGTCCCCAGGGCGACAGGCTGGATGACTGTAGATCCTTGTAGTCTCCCCTGGGTGACCGACGAGCGCATGCAGACTCTGCTACGGTGGGTCGGCTGCGAGGGGTGGTCCTCCCCGACGCCTCATGGGATTCGTCCCGGGAGAGGGACCTTTGACCGGGGGCTCCGGCCCACCGGTCGTAGGCTGTAATTGGCCTTTAGTTTTGTGCCTAGCGTCCTTCTCCTGCAGGTGGCGATATTACCCTACCATTCAGGATCTACGATCTGTTGCCTGTGTCCTTCAATGAACGGAGAGAAAAGGATTTTACGGTGAGTACAAAAATCCTATTTTTTGACTCGCACTCATTATCTTCTTTTCTCCAGCTACAGAGAGTTCCGAGTCTTCGCAGTGCATGTCTGGCGGTGGCTCTAGTGGATCAGACAGCGGCTGTGTCTCTGGCATTCCCCAGGATAATCTGTCGGAAGATGCCGCCTCTCCCTGTGACGCTTCGGCACAATACACCTTTCCAGAGAGACGGAGCAGTTCTGGCGTCATCTCCCCGGCGGTGGAGAAATCCAGGTTCCTCAACAGACAATACATCTCTGCAGTGAGTACTTTGTGATTTTGGATTGTTGTAACACAGATGTGGTGCAGGTCTGAGGTAAACCCATTCATGGTGATTGTGACGTTGTTCAGAGGAAATGTATAGTTTTTTTGGGGGGTTCTGCCAACTTAGCCATCAGCATGCATACTCATTACCCAATCATCGTGAACATATACTTGTGCCTAAAGTTGGAGCGCTCTCTTGCTGCTTTCTAGAATAGTCCGGAATACCCATTTCCATCATGTGTTCTTGAATGTTGATCACACTACATGTGTGCATTTTAGGCAGAAACCTTAAACCTTATTCCTCGCTCTAGCAGGGCTTCCACCATGCTGTGTGACCGGTCCCCTGAAGCCTCTTTGGTGCTCTGGCTGCAGGTCGCACTCTGACATTAAGTACAATGCGGGACCAATAATCCTGCATTGTACATGAGGCCGGTAATGGTCCGCCACAACCTGGAGTATCAGCGACAAGAGGAGAGCACCAGAGCGAGCTTTACATCCTAAGGCTGTGACACACTGCACGTGGAGCGGTGGTGCGCTGCCTTCGCGTCTAGTGTCGTGTAAATTTCTCTCCGGCACGTCAGCTTGCATAGCTGAGCGTGCCAAGATGAAAAATGTCATCTTTAGCCAATCGGCTCGTGCGTATAAACCCGTGCATCAGGAGGCTAAGTCCAGTCGGTTGTTACGCGCCATCCGATTGGCTGAAGGTGCTCATTCATCTGCCTGCACTCAGCTCACACACTGCACGCGACCCATATAAGTGTAATTAATGAGATATCAAAACAGGAAATCCCCACCTTCACCTTCTCATGGTCCAGTCTAGCTGTTGTCATCATCACCTCCCTGATCATCACTAATAAATGAATGAACAGAAATAATGAATGCAATGAGCTCGATGCTGTCCTAGGGCAATGTAGTCCATTTGCAGCCAGCGTTCCTTGCATGAATTGTGTTCTAGAATTTGAGGTCGGTGCCTTTTTTGTATAACATGTTGGTGTTGTGGATATGTTTTTAATACTGCTGTACCGTATAATCCTTCTCATCCCATGGTGGCACCATGTAACTGTATAAAATGATTCATTGCTGACCGCTCTAACACTTGCAAGTCTAACGACTCACTAATAGCTGCTTCTCTCCTCAGAATCAAAGCCACATTTCCCTCAGTCCTTCCACCATTGTCTGATCTTCCTCCTAATACCCGTATTCCAGTAAGTGCTCCTCTTCTGCTTTTATCTTACTCATATGATGTCCCCTACGTGGACCAGAGTCTGTGTGTTGTCTGTTACCATTACTGAATCTTGGATCTGTGCTGCTGGTGAACCGTGCAGACTCCATTTTTGCACACCAGTACGTAGGTGGTAATATAGGAACCTACCAGAATAAACCCGGTCATTATGTGTAATGGCTTGAGTGGAAGGTATGTGGTGGTTATTTGGCCTTGCCCACAAGGGCTTTAGCTTGTATATGGAGCAGTGTGCACAGCAAGGTTCAAACAGCTTTTGTATAGAAACTTTTAGTTCCGCTATGGGGATATCATACACTTCTCTATGACTATCATTCCTGTCATTTCCAGAGCCAGGGCCTTGTGTTTGATAAGCAGATGCATTGTGCTTTGTATATCAGTTTAAGATGCTTCTGAGATCATTCAGAATACATTGACCGGGCATATGACCTGCTGCAAGCTGCTATTACATCCCCATAAATGGAAATGAATGTTACTTAATAAATCTGGAATGAGAGGAATGGATTAACTGAATATCAGTAATAAGAGGTGGTTGCATAACACTCGCCTTTTCATTGAAATTTTCATCTATCCATTGAGCAGGCTTGGGGTGGAACAGTGACACCAAAAGCTACAGAGCTGAAGAAGAAATGATGGGTGTCACCTATCTTGCTGCACAGTGTAGCTGGGGTGGGGTGTCCGATGTGGCAGGGCAGACTTACAATTTAGCTGTGTGCCTGGGACTCTGGATTTAAATACAAGGTGATGACTTAGCTGCCATGTTGTGTATGGTTTACGTATCTTCCAATGACCCCTCTTCTTCCTTTGTAGGTATGACCAGGTTTCCGGTTGTCGGAGATTTGCCCGATATGAATTGCGGCCGCCTCCTCTGGCCCCCGACTACGTTTCTATGTTCTAACCGCCTCGTTAGCGACTTGTTAATGTGTAATATTTCTCTATTCCTGTATATAGTTTAATATACCAGCAGACGCCATGCTGTACGGCCTGCTGATGAGTTCTCCTGTTAAGCTGCACAGTTTGTAAAGTTTATTGAATAAGACATTTGCAAGATTTGTATTTAATAACAGATGTCCTTTTACATGTTGAACTGGAATTTGACGAGTGTCTTATTTTGTTATAGTTTTTTTTTTTCCCCAAACTAGAAATAATTTATTTACTGGAGATAATCCTTAAATCTGAATAAACAGATTTATTTCAGTTCTCGCAGATTGGACTTTGTAGGTTATTTAGTGACCCGCCATACATTCCAGTGTTTGTGTTAAAGTGCCCAAGATGAGTTTATATTATTGGAAACGCATATATGTGTCTGTGGGCCAGTCCTTGACCTGCCAGGCCGTGGAGTCAATTGTCTAAGACTGGGTTCTTGGACCTTTGCCACTGTGATAAATCTAGGGCTGCAACAACTAATCGATTATGAGAATAGTTGGCAACTATTCTCATTATCAATTAGTTGGTTGTGGAGGGAGGGGGAGATGGAGTTTTTTTCAATTGCAATTTATCGAAAAAATAATTGGGCAACTAATCGATTATGAAAATAATTGTTGGCTGCAGCCCTAATAAAATCATGATGGGGCATACGTGAGATTGTGCATTGGTTTATATGTCTTGATTGCAGTCTAATGTTTATGGGTACTTTAAGCCCTCATTCACACAGGTAACAATTGGCCCGTACAGATTCGTGCACGGCCGTATCAGGCAGCTCCCGGAAAGGACAGGTGCTGTGTGTGATTATATGCAGCAGGGAGTACGGTCGCATACTCCCATAGAGAAGGACGGGTGCTGCTGGGTACAAATCACACACAGCACCTGTCCTTCCCGGGAGCTGCCCAAAACGGCTGTGCACGCCGCACGGATCTGTACGGGCCGCCCCTTACCCGTGTGAATGAGGCCTAATGTCTTCTCATGCTGGGGGAGAACTTCCCTTTGTAGCTGAGTGCCTCTTCCTGTAGTGCTGGCTCAGGTTGTGAACCTACACACAGACACCATGTATCCATTACAGAGACAAGGCAGTCTGCTGCAAAACAGAAGTTCTGCCCAGCATGAGAAGACATGAGGATTTAAAAGGAAGAGAAGGGAAAACAACCATGGATTACAGTAAGGCGCACATTACAGTATTGGTTTATGTTAAAAACATCTGAGGGTTTAATGTCACTTTAATGTTTATGAACTCAAAGCAAAAATGTGCTTTGCGCATGCACGGTTCACAATAATGTCCCCCATCCTTAGCAACTTTTCCTTTACTTCCCAACCCACGGCTGCCAGGAGTGAAGAAACTACATAATACTTCTGGTATGCAGGAGCATAGGACTTGTTTCTATTTCTTTCAGGATGGTAATGGTGGTGATTGGCCTCGTGCCATTACATGGGACCTGGAGTGAGTTCTTAGACACACAAAAGCCCCAGCGAGAGGGACTCACAACTTACACAGGGCTTCCTTTCCTCACTTCCAGTGGCTGAATGGAACAGCGGGGTGGGGAGGAGGAAAGAAAGATAATTGTGTGCTGATGGGGAAGTGGGAACTAAACTGATAGCTGAAGGGAACTGTAGGCATCTAAAATAAGATACCTTCACCTATCTTCCAGAGCACTTGGGAACTCCAAAACCTGGGATGTGCAATATGCAGATATCTCTCCCGCCCCCATCACACTTTTCTTGCTCCTCAGACTTACTGACCCAATAGTACTCACTTTTCAGCTGCAGCCAGATATACAGATTAACCTCCCTCCATTTTGGGACTTGAGGGGAAGCCCTAAGAAGAAAACTAGAAAGGTACATGCACACTTGTGTATATGCCTGCTGACTCTTGTTTCCAGGGAGCCCAGTGGACATAATGTAACCAAATATCAACTTTTGGTTAGCTGGTACTGAGGCACAATGTCCAGAGCACCTCCCAATAGCGTCAATGAGACATTCGTGTAATGGGCTAAGACTGGCCATACATTGGCAGATTTTCGTACAGTCATTTGAAATCAGAACATTCGATAATGCCATCAGAGACCTGACCAAATTACATTTTGAATGACATTCAATTTTGGAACGGATGGAGTTTCCTGAAGGAGAACCACATTCATTGTTAGAGGAGCGGGAAAATGTTTCTCCAATGAAATTCTGCCTTTTATCGTCACTACGGCAGAAAATGATCGTTAATTTGACCCCATTAACTATTAGAAAATTGAATGCCCCAAAAACAGATTCTTTTAGATGAAATTCTACTGGTGAAAGTTGGTATATGTGTACGGGATCCTGATACATTCCAGCACCATGTGCTTCCTCTGACACCACACAAAGACTTTTCACAACAAGGTCAGGTAAATGTTCTGCAAATACGTTCTAACTATAAAAAGTATCTTCTTAAAGAACAATGACATTTATTACACACAAATATCAACCTTGGCACAACCAAATAGCAGTCAATCGGCTATTAAATCTCCTCTCATTAAACAGAACTGAACTCTCCCCCTCTACACCCAACGCTGATGGACTTTACAAATATTAACATTAAGAAAACTTTAACACATTAAAAACATGAACCCAACTTAACTGTTGTGTCAGCTCAGGAATTTCCTTAGGATGCAGCACAATGAAGACTTGTGACAACGCTTCTGAAGCATTACAGTAATGCACTGGCTGAGTCTCTTGGCGTACGGCAGGGTAAGCTGAAAAAATAAAAACGGTGCATTATACTTTTTGCTCTGCCTAAAAACGGTAAAGGAATTGTATACAATAGGGATGCACCGAAATGGAATCTTTGAGACTGAAACCGAAAATAAAAAATGTCAGACGGAAACAAACGTTTTTTTTCTTCAACCTTTTTAAAAAGTTTAAGAAATATTACATTTATTTTTTTTACTGTCAGGGGGGCTCTGGGAAATATTAGGAGTCTAAACAGACCCCAGATATTTCCCTTTTGAAATAGTAAAGGAGATTGAGAACACAGAGTCCTCAATCTCTTATTCAGCAGCCTCTGTTATCAATGAACAGGAAGCCTCTATAGTGAGTGCTCCTGTTCATTGATAACTTGTGGATATAGTATGAGTTACTATGTACGCATATATGAATGAACAGGAAGTGATGTAGATAACTTCCTATTCATTCATAACTGGTACATAGTAACTCATACTATATCCAGTCACTTACGGTAAGCGGACAGCTGTCACATCGGCTGTCACAGGAGGTAGAGCAGGTTGGTGTGGGAGGAGAGCTCCGCTTCCTGTGACAGAGTTCTCCATCCTGATACAGGAGGCCGAGCCGGGAGGTGATCGCGGCCTCCTCAAACCTTCTGTCCTCCTCGCTGCGTGCCGGCCGGTACATCAGAAGGCACACAGACCAGCAGCCATCAGAGAGGAGAGAAGCACAGCATTTTCGTCCTCAGTTTCGACCGTCATGGCACTTTCGTCATTTTGACAAAAGTGCCATTTTTGTAGCATCTCTCGTATACAATATAAAAGTTTTCACATACATGGTATCATTGTCCTCTCACAGGTATATATATAAAAAAAACTTTTAGTGTGTGTGAACCATGATGCACATATACACTGTAAAACAACACACCTTGGTTATACTGCATCCTAATGCACATATGTGAGGCTTGGTAAGGGCCTAGTCATAGTGAACGGGCTACCTGAATTCTTAGAGTTCTTCTTTCAGCGAGCCATACTCTCTACAAATTTCAGCTGGTTCTTGATGAGCCGGCAGACATTCATTTACTGGGTGGCCCAGTCGGCACCTTTCCACTCAGCACCCTTTGATCAGAAAGTGAAAGGAGCTGTCAGAAAATCTTTTGTGTACAGTGACGGCAGCCAATTAGCTGCCGTCACTATTGGGGTATGCAGTGATAGGAGATTCATCCATCCACACTGTTTAGCGTGGACGGAGGAATGTTATTTTTTTGTTTGTTCAGTCTGCAGGTTGAACGAAAAAAGTATGACCAGCTTTTGGGTCTTATTGCCCCACTACAGCGATTCAGCATCAGCGATCCTGATTTTTAACCAGTTGCGAGTAGATCAGACCCGACATCAATGAATCGGCATCAATTTATGCAATTATGGTTCCCTGGAAACATGAACTGTGCAAAGCAAGGTGCTCTACATTCCCAAATACTATGAAGTGTATTGGGGTTGTGGCGGTGCAAAAAGTAAGTGTGCAAGCATCTGTGATCCCTGACTGTATACAGAGCCCCCTGAGTGACAGTGTCCCCTGAAACCAACTACAGAGCACACAGTGTCCACTGAAATCAACTACATGTCATTTACCTGGCACAGGTAACTGTATAAGGCTGGACTCATCCAGAATAGGCTCTAGAAAGATGGTATTGGGTTATGTTTTTCCAATGTTTACACAAATCAATAAATGAAAAACATCATTTCCTTTTGCTCTCTTGTGTGCAAACCCTGCAAATGGTTTTGTGGTCTTTATCGAGCATTACTTAATAGGTTGGTAGCATATCATAGACATCTTTTCCATGGGGTTACTGCACAGCAAATATGGACGAGGTTCTAAAGAAGTGGCGTACCTGTAACCAGCAGAGTAATGTCTCCTTTGTGCTCTCGTCTCTGTACATTTCTAGGGTCAATAAATCTTCTATAAATTGTCTAGCTGGAATCTGATCAACCTGCAGATTAGAACATTCAGAAATGTACCATTAATGAACTATGGGTTGTAATTTACAATGTTACCCATGCAGAGGTCTAAAAATAAAAGGTTGTGACCCTCACCTATTAAGGCTTAACTCCGGGCACAAAACAATATACCACAAAAATATCCACAAAGGATATATATCCAGTTTATGTGCACCAAACACCTTTTCATGCCCAGATATTACTATATAAAATTATTAGTAACATAGCCTGAGCAGAGGGAGGGAGGGACCCAACAGGCCACCACCCACTACCAGGTTAAAAATATAGAGACCTACAGGAGGGGGCGGAGACTAGACCAGTCATTGTGCATAAGGAGAGAGGACAGCAGTGTGCGGTCTTTATTACAGTAAGCGCCACACTGGATTACTGCACAGATCTAGAAGACATACACAAAGCTCACAGGAGATTCCAGGAGGAACACACTTGGCTCTTGTATGAGGATAATATTTGCTTATCCCCGAGTTTAAACAGCAGAGCTACAGGGCGGGCAGGACACAGGTCCGAGCGTCCCAGGTTGCTAAGAGCTGGTTGGGCAGATGCAGAGGGTGACGCTCTGGCCTCCCCCCTCATGACCCACAGAGATGCCCTCTGAGGCAACAGCGTCAGGCTTCCTCATTAAATGCGCAGCCCCGACTGATTCACTCTCTAAAGCTCATTTGCAATCTTATTACTGACAACGACTTGCCAGGCACAGGATCGCTAAAAAGGGCAGCAAAAATACTCACCTGCTTGTACAGTGGCGCTCCCTCATTGACAGAAGCTCCACAGAATCTACCTCATGGGTAAGTGACCTATGCTGTGTGTGTATATATATATATATAACACTGCTGATCATCAGTTTCTAGTTATTGCAATGTGACTACTATTCATCCATGATGCTCACCCACAACATGCTCACAAGACCAGCCACGCAGAACCTAGTAGATTTGGAGTCCTTCTGCTCTAGGGAGTCCAAGATAATACCAGTCAGGAAGGAGTGACATTTCCTGGCATAAAAGACTTCTTCATGCGACATGTTAACACTCAGGAAAACAAGATCTGCAACAGAATAACGTGAAAACAGATTTGTAAAGGGCTCATTACAAACAGCTAGAACAGACATTCTTAATCAGTGTTCATAGAACATCAGGTTCCTATAGAAGGTCGCCAGCGGTCCCTTGAGCAGTGAGCGGTATTGGATTAATCTTCTGCCTGGCAGTGCACATGTAGCTCTGGCACCAACATCACTCGGCAGAGCCAGAGACTTGGGACCGGTGATTATCAATATACGGGGACACTACACAGACCACTAATGTGACATGGCATTTTAATCCCATTTATATAGTAAGTGTGTCCTCCCATTGGCCACCAATATAATGGGAGCCCTCACCCATTGACTCCCAATTAAAGGGGGCACTTTCACTAATTAGCAAGGTAAGGGGTAATTTTTCCTACTTATTGTAAGTGTGTCTGTCCTCCCATTGATCACCAATATATGGGTGTAGGCCCTCACCTACTGACTTCCCATTTGAGGGGACATTTTTCCACTGACCACCAAGGTAAGGGGAAATGTTTTTTTCAATTACTCCAATGTAAAAGGATCCTACAATTTTCCTTTCATTCATTCATTTCAGTTTGAATTTCATTCCTTACCATTATTATTCATTACTAAATTGTTGTATAGCACATGGGGTGATAGGAAATAATTCATTCTAGGTGTCATATATGCTAAGTAAGCCCCACTTCCTGATCATAGTTACATAGTTAGACAGGTTGAAAAAAGACACAAGTCCATCGAGTTCAACTTCTTGCTAATGTACCATGAGCCATAAATATAATATTTGTAGCAGGGGTTCCTTGAGACCTCAAGGAGAAACATTATTTTAAGAGTTCCTCCGTGCTCAAAAGGTTGAAAAATGCTGATCTAGAGACTATTGCATTCATATTTTATGCTCATGAATTCCCAGTAGACCCAGGAATACTTTCCTAGAAAGATGTACAATTGTGGATGACCCTAAACCTAAGAAAGAAAAGTGCCCTGTAAAAAAAATGTATTCTGACGTACCATCAGTAGTAGCTCCATGATGAGTGAGCTCTTTAATATCATGTTCAGTAGTATACACAATGCAGTCCTGAAAAGATGCCGTACTTCCATCATTGGCCACTAGATGGTGATGATGAACCCAGAGAATGGCGCCGAGGTCAGCAAGCTCCATGCCCTCCATATGTGACCTGGCACAGTATGCATGCTCTGAAAGTAGAATACGTCGTTAGGATAATCGTGTCATATACAGCAGTAGGAACCAGAAAATGGTTAAAAGAAACCTTATCTAAGAGAAATATAGCGACTGCCTTTGCCAACTCACTCTGCAAATGCTACTTAGCTGGCTGTTGTGCCAACCCACAGACCAAGCAGCTAGTATTTTCAGAAAGAGGTTGGTAGTAGCAGCCCCCATATTTCTTCAAGGAAACATTTCCTATTAAAGTGACAATAAAGTCACAAATATTTCCCCCACACATCCCCCCCCCCCCATGCTGCTCTAAGGACTTACCTTAAATGATGCCAATTGATCCAATCATCTTCCTTCCACTTGTATTCAGCAATGCCTCCAGCGCTGGTGCCGGTCTCTGATCCAGCGCTGACTGCTGTGTCTTCTGCGTTTCATGGTGTCTGGCCGACGTGCACGCTCCCGGCTGCGTGCATTGACTAAGGGCTCAGTCACACTACATGCAGTGCGTTCCGGCCCCTGTGAGCCGGCCGCAATGCGAGGCAGTGCGTTCTGGCCAAAATCGGGCCGGAACGCACTGCATGTAGTGTGACTGAGCCCTTACACTGAGTCCCTCCTCGCCAAAGGTCTAGACTTCGCATGCGCCCGCCCCATCATCCTGCTCGGCCGCTTGAGAAGCTCCAGATCTTCAAATGGGAGCGAGCAGCGGTGACACAGGTAAGTAATTACCTTTTTGGTAACTTTTTAATTTTGTTTATGTTTTTGCATATATCTACTTCTTGCTAGCAGTAGATATATGCAAAAAAAACCCCCCAAGAGTTCAATTATACTTTAAACAGAACTCCTTTAGTAAAGTACCGTGAGTGTTCAGAAGGCCTCTACCTTGGAGCTCATCACGCACAGAGTCCATAGCAGCGCTATCGTGCAGCTTTTTGACCAAAGATATTAACTTCAACATTGGTGATGTGCTGAAATTTGCCTTTTCCCCTTCCACCGTCTGGTCCAGTTTCCAACATTTAGTACTGGGGAAACCATCGGGATTATAGCACTGTGAAGGCGTAACCGGACTTGTTGATGGCGCCTTTCTCTTCTTGCAACCATCCTTATTCAGTCCCTCGGCTGATGTAACGCAGCTAGCGTTCTCGTTTATTCTATGACTTTTCAATCCATCTACAGACATTATTCCCTCAGATCTCAGATCCTGCAATGTAGACAAAAGGAGAACTGATACGGTAAATAAGCCAGTAAGTTAATGTGCAGATTAAACAGAAAGTCAGGTACATTAGAATGGCCTATGCAGCATCACATTAGTTTAATACCTGCGGTTTTTCAGTTTACTTGCATGTTATAACGACACTGCCAAAAATGACATTTCTCATGCGGGTAACAAGGTGATAATGGGCTTCAGATGCCAAAATGGCTGAAACAGGAAATGTGCTGCACGACAAACACATTCAAGGACTCAAATGTAAAATGTCATTTTTCTATGCGGATCTGAAGCTAATTAGTTACAATGCCATAATACAGACAAACGTTATTCAAAGGAGACCGATGCGGTGAGTGCTTTTCACTCACCTCATAGTTCTAGCCGACCTGTGACAATGAGACTGTCACAGGTCGGCTCAGTAGATCGGGAGGTGAGCGAACACATACCCGCGTTCGCTCACCTCTCGATCCTGTCACGGCTCTCTGCCGTGACAGGGGAGGGGCTGGATTCCCCCCTCCCCGGAACGGACGGGGGAGGGGGCGGGTACAGATGGCTCTGCCTCTAGATAGGCAGAGCCAGCTGTCACTCACGCAGCAAGGCGGATCTCGACATCAATGTCAGGATCCGCTCCGGCTGCGGCGTCTCAGTATACCGCAAGCTGTAGCTCGCGGTATACTGAGCCTAGGGTGACGGGAGGACACTAGTTTGTGTCCTCCCGTTACCCTAAGGAGAACTATGGGGAAAAGCCCTGACCCCATAGTTCTCCTTTAAAGCAACCCTGGCACTAGGAAAAACATACTGAGATAAAGTGCGCCTGCAACAGACATACGGGTGGCAAATCCTTTATTTGCTCTCTTGCAGAGCTCTGGCCACCACTGGTATCCAGTACTTCTGGGTGCGTTGAATAGCAGGCCCCTCGCTGTGTCCTGTGACTGCTATGTCACTACTGTGACATAGCACATAGGGAGGAACATGCTATCCTGTAGCTCTGGAAGACAACGAATACTGGAGTTAAAGCGGAACCCCAACTAGAAAACTAAATCAAATGCTGCTAAGACTACAAAAGCCATGCCAATGAGCCTCTTAGGGCCCGTTACTTATTTTAGTGACCTGTGTGTTACCGCATTGAATCAATGCAAGGACATACACAAAACAATTGTATCTGTGTGTCCCATTCACAACCCTAGATCAAACATCACACCAGCACACTGATAATAAAGTGAATTAGTCCATTTAATGACAGACAATCGCCATCCAAGTGCAAGCACTTTCGGGGCCGCACAGGGCCCCCTTCATCAGGCTTGGGAATTACCTCATTCCTAAACCTGATGAAGGGGACCCTGTGCGGCCCCGAAAGTGCTTGCACTTGGATGGCGATTGTCTGTCATTAAATGGACTAATTCACTTTATTATCAGTGTGCTGGTGACGTTCTTGGATCTATTGTATAGTGCACGGTGCCGCCCGTGGTCACTAGTAGCACCCGTCTGGATTTCACAGGATTTTTTAACCGGTAAGGAGTGCAGCAAGTTTCACCTGTATTTCCCCATTCACAACCCTAAAGTATGTGATAGGCGATGTGTATAAAATCCAAACATGCTGCTTTTCTTTTGGCCGCACACCGGATGCCACCGCAGGTCACCACATGGCAGCGCAGTGCATCTTTGTACACTACCAATAAAGCTAAAAAAAATAAAAATATATTGACAGCTCTGGCAGTGAGTGATACAATGCACACTGCCAGAGCTCCAATATGCACCAGCCCATCAACTCACAGCATTTTAACAGACGGGCTATCGTGAATGCTGTCCTCAGCTCTGATCTTTAGTCTGTTGCTCCTGCCTTATCTGATGCACATACTTGTTTTGGGATAAGGAGTCCATATACTGAAGCCAGAGGGTCAGCATACCTGCAAAGCAACTAGCAGACGAGAAGAAGATCATTGAAGGCCTCTGTTTTCCTGAAGGCGACTTTAATTTAAACCTCAACTGAACTTGCTCTGCTGTCAGGAAAGCTCACGCTCCCTGCTGATATAAGAGCGCTATCTCTGACTCGACAGTGGGGGTATCAGATCTCTCAGAGAGACCACTGCTTTCATACAGAGAGCAAGGATCGTTCTCTGCAGCATGCTGGCAGTGGACAGGCTTTTCTAAGCTGTTCCTACTTTTTACTAAAGAAAACCAACTGCAATACTTTGCACATCTTTTGCTTTGATGCATTTGGAATGTATTTCGCTGACTTGAACTGAAAGTTGAGTTGGGCTTTGAGCCAATGAAGGCCCTCTAATGAATTAGACGATGAAACACTTTGTACGGAAAAACAAAGTCTAAATTTAAAAAATAGCTGATAATGAAAAGCTGTGCCAGACATATTTTTCCATACTTGTGAAGTAGAATAGTCCAAGCAAACACTTATCAGAAACAGAGAGAATCACCTCGTGTTTAGGGTCCAGGGAACATTCTGTGGATCCGTTCTCTTTTAACCATAATCTGCAGAATAAAACATAGTTATAACACTAAACGGATTCTTATACTGTTGTAAAATGCATCAGGTAGACCTCCCAGAATCCCCTTCTTCATCTCTGGGCTCTTGCACTTAGGAGGACAGGTCTTAAAGATATAATACTGCTCTACAGAAATCTTGTCTCTAAACTAGGGATGCACCGATACCAGTTTTTCAGTATTGAGTACGAGTGCTGATATTTTTTATTTCGGTACTCGCCGATACCGAATACCAATGCCGGAAGTCCCATTAAGGTAGCCGGGGGGGCGAGTCATTACCAGCCCGGGTTACTGAATGTCTGGGAAGCCAGCTTCATGCTCCCTGGTGACGGAGCATGGAGCCAGCTTCCCGGCCAATCAGGAAGCTGGGCAACGTGTAATGACTCGCTGCCTGGCTCCCTGACACTGAAATGTTCCAGTATCAGGATAGGCATCGGGAGCATTTGGGCGAGTATGAGTAGTATCGGTATCAGTGCATCCCTACTCTAAACTATTGGCACTAGCCAGTGCCTATGTTAAAACTAAACCCCGGGCTCTAAAAACGTAATTAAATATATTCTTTACTGGCCACAAAGGATACAAATCCACTTTGTGTGCACCAAATGCCTTTGCTAAAACAGGCATTACCTTAAAATTGTAGATGTGACATCATCACTGTGCTGTACATAGACTGTGCAGAGAGCAGAGCTGTGGGAGGGACCCAACAGGCCCCACCCACTACAGGAAACTACAGGAGGGGAGACAAGACCAGTCACCCTGCACAAGGAGAGAGAGCAGCAGTGACCGGTCTTTATTACAGGAGGGGGAGGAGACAAGACCAGTCACCCTGTACAAGGGGAGAGAGAGAGCAGCAGTGACCGGTCTTTATTACAGGAGGAGGCGGAGACAAGACCAGCACCCTGTAGAAGGGGAGAGAGAGCAGCAGTGACCAGTCTTTATTACAGGAGGGGGTGGAGACAAGACCAGTCACCCTGCACAAGGGGAGCGAGAGTAGCAGTGACCAGTCTTTATTACAGGAGGAGGCAGAGACAAGACCAGTCACCCTGTACAAGGGGAGAGAGAGTAGCAGTGACTGGTCTTTATTACAGGAGGAGGCGGAGACAAGACCGGTCACCCTGCACAAGGAGGGAGAGCAGCAGTGAGCGGTCTTTATTACAGAAAGCTCCAAGTCTTACACTGGATTACTGCACAGAACCAGAAGAAATACATAAAGCTCTCCAAGATTCAAGACAACACATGACTATTCAATATAGACAATATCTGCTTATCCCAGGAGTTCAGCTTTAACTGGAATTAGTGACGAATACAGAATTTTTGGAAAAATCACATGAATGTGACCGCAATACCTGTACTCCGGGCAGTGACGTAGAGCTTCCTTGAGAGCTGAGATTTGAAATTCATTCACTTCCTGACACAGAAGCCTCCATTCCCTGCAATACAGCAAATGTGAGATCTGTCCTCGATATCCGATTCACATACAGCACAGCAAGAGAATATTCCATCAGGGGAAAACAGGAACCGTACTGGACTTTTATAAATAATCACCGCAGGCAAAGGGTATATACTGTATATCTACACTCTAAGCTTCTCTAAGGGGGGACCTGTTGTACTTTTGGAACGGCCTTAACAGAACCAGTAAGCTTGCCTGGAAAACCTTAGTACATTTGAACTTTTTCACCTGTTTGGCCTGGTGCTCATTGCATATACATCTACATTCTCAGCTTCCCTAAAGGAGACCTGTTGTTGCCTTGGAACCATCCATTTACATCTACACTCTAAGCTTCTTGAAGGGGGACCTGTTGTACTCTTGGAAACCCCTTACCAGAACCAGTGAGCTTGCCTGGAAAACCTTGGTACATTTGGACTTTTGAATGAGCATTTAGATGCCAGCGTCACTTAAATATTTGGGTCTGGAGCAAGGAATAAGGTAAGAAGTACACCTTATTCCTCTACCCATAGACCTAATGAGCATTTAACCCTTGCAGTGCATAGGGAGGCCCAATGCAAGAGTAGTTTTTGTGTAGTTCTCAGAGCTTTAAATTACTAGCGAGACTAGCGAGAAAACAATCCACTGCAACCCACAGGGATTCCAGCCACATCTCCCTGCTGAGACTTTAAGTACAAGCATGCCACCTAGTGGCTAGTTTAGTTAACTACATTAAACATTGACTGAGCATTCTAATGACGCACCGTCCAGTGATGGAGGATTTCAGATAGCCCACTAGCCTGATCTATTGCGGCAATATAGTTTTCTAGTACCCAACCCTGCCCCAAAGTTGCCATAGCTGACCACATGTGCAGCACCATGGCAACTGCAATCCAAATAGAGTCCAAGATGGCACCTTCCTTCGCTGTAAAGCCTAGGAGGGTGTAGTTTCCTAGTTCCCCCCCATTGGACAGGGGAGTCAGAGAACTTAGGTCCCGCAAGTAAAGTGAATCTAAATCAGAAATAAAGAATCTGATGATGGAACGATGGGCAACTTGTTCTGAAGTTTTGGAGATTCAATGTCACAGTAGCACTTTGTACTCACTTGAAGTCGGAGGGCAGGAGGAGTCTGCCAAGTCTTAGAAAGTTGAGGACATGCCGGAATATGGATCCATCTCCAATTACTAACAAGGAAAAGCCACAGGTGATCCAGCGTGTCTTCTTAGCGTTGGCGAGCAGTTCTGGATACTGAACAATCAGAACATTTAAACAGTTGACTCAACATCATTCAATCATATACACCAAAAAGTAGGCATCACAATTCCTATCACCCCATCTAACTTTGTTAGGAATAGCACTGCCCACATTTCCCTCCAGGACTTAAAAATCCTGCTTAATTTATTTGATGTACCCGCCATGGATTTAGTATGTTAACACTGACTGGAATCACATTTTTCCAGGAACTGCCAGGAAATCTTTCCGGGATCCCACAGAGTGAACATGTCTAATATCTTCAAATACAATACTATATTAAATAATTGCTTAAGGATAACTCATCCCCTCTTCTCGGCACAGCAATGTTTGAGCAACGTTGCCGCAAAGACCCATATTCCCCCGGGCTTTATATCCCTCATTTATGCCTCCAATATATCTTCGCACCCGGCCCGCTGACATACTAAACCAAAATGGGAGAATGTAGCTTGCTGAGCCTTGATCTGGTCTCCAAGGAGCGTGCCGAAAGCAAAGCAAAGCTGAACATTGGAATAGACAGCAAAGAATGAGTGGAGGAGCAAGGAATCCCCAGAGAAGCCCTGAAGAAGGAGGGGGGGGGGGCGATTCCCCCAAATTGTGTTGGCTGTATCTGACATATCCACTTAATTATATAACTTAGACTCTAAACAAATAGTCATCTCGCCTGACGGTTCTTCTAAGTCTTAAGTCTCCCCCCCCCTTGGACCATACCTAGCTCCAAAGTTCCCAAACCAAATGGAAGACAAAGCCGATAGTGAATGAATAATTGCTGTTTCTCATAAATGACAGGCACAAGCGTTTCCTGTTTTGAACTTTTTTTTTCCCTTTTCTCCTGTTTCTTTCTCTCTGCCCCCTCTTCTGCCTACCCCTCATACCTTGCTCTATAATACACATAATGGTTTGTTTTCTGCTGTACCTTCAGTAACGTTTTCAGAAGTGTGGCATACCAATGGCTTCTCACATAGACTCTAACTATCTGGGTGGCTGAGTACTGTTGCACGTCGGCTATCCAACTTTCACCTAGGAAAATAAAAAGTAATATCCTATAAAAATGAATTTTAAGGGTAGCATTAACCATAAGGCCTCTCATGGCCTTGTTCTGATCACCAGGGGATATTTGTACACATCCCATGCTGATGGCAGCAGTACAGAACGGATGTCACTTTTGTGGCAACGGCAATCCAAATCGAGGAAAGATGGCACCTTCCTTGGCTGTAAAGGAGAGGAGGTTATAGTTCCACTTTAAGATCTCAAAACCTAATAAATATGCACTAACGATAGGAGAGATGCCACCATTGTAAACCATTCTACTTACATGAAGCTCCAGGACTCCTATTCAGTCTGTAATTTAGGTATGTTCTCATAGCTTCTCTCATGGGCTGGTATATGACGTCCCCTTTATCCAGGTATAAACACAGGCCTTGGATTTCTAAAGCACTGCTGGTCAGTGGAAGTCCGCATGCTCCCAGCCAATTTCTGACATCAAAATCGATTAAAATAAAATAAATCAGTGAATTTAATCTTAATCAGATCAATTGTCAGTATCTGTATTATCAGTTTTAACACCAGTGATTTATTTGGTCTAGAAGGCTTTTTGACCCATATTTGTACCTGTTGATCCTGCCAGTAACACTTCCTGTCCTATGGTGACAATGCTCACCCACTGTTTTGTATGTATGGAAGAGGAGGAGCTATAGGACACCTCCCCCTCTCATCATCTCTATAAGGGTCACCATACAGTTTATAATCTGACCATACAATCTCCATATAACCAACTTTAGATCTACCAAAACTATGTCATATGAGGACAAACCTAAACTATCCAATCTATTTGTATACAATCAGGCAGACCCTTGCATTGCATACTTTACTTTTTGGTAGATCTAAACTACAATAAGAACTTTTCCAAGTGTATATTTAAAGAAATGATTTAAAGAACCTACTTGACGTGTTGGAAAAGAGTCCCACTGCCACTGATATACAGCTTACTGCCGCCTACACTGCTCTCTATATACAGCTGGCCTAAAGCAGAGTCTGGGTATTTTCCTAACAGATCCAAAGACATGACGTAGAAAGGCTTTGCTCCACTGGAGTGCTCAGTTTTACTAGCTGTCAAGCTGTTACTAGAGTGCCACGTCCCTGGCATATCCACGTAATGGCTGCTTTTCTTTCCTAAAAGTCATAAATCATTAAACATCATTCAGTTTTCTTTTATGTACATTGTTGTCAGGTTTAGAAAAATGCAATTTTGCTTTGACTTGCTTCTACATTCACATGGACATGCATGGAGAAGAAAGGCAGTTCAGATGCTAACAAATGCACACAAGCCCTAACTCAAGTGGAACTTGCCCCTCCAATTTAATGGCTCCCAAAACAGTTACTTTTAAAACATGTTAAGTATCAGGCTTGTCAGTATACTTATTTCAGCTCTTAACTCAACTTTCAAGCGGTCGCTGGTGTGTTAGCTGATCACATGTGCAGCGCCATGACATGATGAGTGACATTTACTGTTGTACAGCCGATTGCTCTGCAATATCAACGGAGCTAAATGCATGAATTAGTTTCCTTCTTATGTTAATTTGGTTTTAAAGCCCATTTCACAGTTTGTCACCAACTCACCCCCTGTCCTCCCCTTCTTGCATTTCTTTTAGTATACATACATTTTTACAGACATCTTTGGTGGTCAGTGAAGGGCTCTGGCATACCAGGGGGGTCAGTGAAGGGCTCTGGTACACCAGGGGGGTCAGTGAAGGGCTCTGGCACACCGGGGGGGTCAGTGAAGGGCTCTGGCACACCAGGGGGTCAGTGAAGGGCACTGGTGCAATGGAGGTCAGTGAAGGGCCCTGGTACACCCGAGATCAGTGAAGGGCCCTGGTGCAATGGAGGTCAGTGAAGGGCCCTGGTGCACTGGAGGTCATTGAAGGGCCCTGGTGCACTGGAGGTCAGTGAAGGGCCCTGGAGGTCAGTGAAGGTCCCTGGTATACTGGAGGTCAGTGAAGGGCCCTGGTACACTGGTGGACAGTCAGAAGAATGCTTTTAACATTGGTGGGAAGTGAAAATAAGAACCCCCTTACAGATACCTGAAAGATGGTTGTTGTCAGTGGTTACTGAGAGGCATTAATTGCTCAAGGAACCCTTGTAGGGGTTAAAAAAAATCTTCCTTATAACTGTTATGACACAATTTCAGGTTAGCCTGGCACCTCCATAAACACACAACAACATTCCTCATCTCTGTCATACCCACAAGAACAGTGATCAGAGGTGACACACCTGAGTCGTTCTTTTCATCCAACAATGCTTTGAGAAGATCTGGAATTCCCACAGAATTAATTTCTGCTTCTAAATCCTCAAACGCTAAGAAGTTATCCGGCAAGAAAAAATTCCCAGAATAAAGGAAATTTCCTAAATGAAAACAGAAAAATATTTATTCAGGAACATGTAAATTCATTATCCAGAGCAAATATTATTTTTGCAACATAGGAAATTCAATGAAATTGAAAACAAAAAAATTCTAATCACATGACTGGATGATTTAAGACAGCATAACTTCATCTCATTCACTAAACTCTGTACATTTTCTCTTTGTAAACAGAATAATTTGGCAAGAAGGTATTTACACTCACCGGCCACTTTATTAGGTACACCTGTTCAACTGCTTGGTAACACAAATTGCTAATCGGCCAATCACATGGCAGCAACTCAATGCATTTAGGCATCTAGACGCGGTGAAAGCGATTTTCTAAAGTTCAAACCGAGTATCAGAATGGGGAAGAAAGGGGATTTAAGTGACTTTGAATGTGGCATGGGTGTTGGTGCCAGGCGGGCTGGTCTGAATATTTCAGCAACACATCTCTCGGGTTTACAGAGAATGGTCCGAAAAGGCAACAGTAACTCAAATAACCCCTCGTTACATCCGAGGTATGCAGAATACCATCTCTGAACGCACAACACGTCCAACCTTGAATCAGATGGGCTACAGCAGCAGAGGACCACACCGGGTGCCACTCCTGATAGCTAAGAACAGGAAACGGAGGCTACAATTCACACAGGCTCACCAAAATTGGACAATAGATGATTGGAAGACCGTTGCCTGGTCCGATGGGTCTTGATTTCAGCTGCGACATTCAGATGGTCGGGTCAGAATTTGGCGTAAACAACATGAAAGCATGGACCCTTCCTGCCTTGTATCAATGGTTCAGGCTGGTGGTGGTGGTGTAATGGTGTGGGGGATATTTTCTTGGCACACTTTGAGCCCGTGATGCTATCGTGTCAATATGGACCAAAATCTCTGAGGAATGTTTCCAACACCTTGTTGAATCTATGCCACGAAGAATGAAGGCAGTTCTGAAGGCAAAAGGGGGTCCAACCCGGTACTACCAAGTTGTGCCTAATAAAGTGGCCGGTGAGTGTACATGCTAATATAACCTATAAATGCATTCATCACATATTAATCTCACCTATGAACCGGAACTGGGGGCTTCCACATTCCAGCAGTATGAATTTCTCGGAGAACCAAAGCAAGTTATCATCTGTTACCAGTGCCGGATATTGCTTCAGAATGTCTATTGGAAAGAAGCAATAATGAACTTCCTCTTCTGCATCAAGAAAGGGATCAACTAAAAGTCCAAGAGGGGCTGTGTCCCGGATCCCTAAAGAAAAGATGAGTGACTTACGTGTGATATTAAGGAACAGAATCAACTAAAAACTAAAAGAACAACCGTAATATAACAAGCCAAAAGACATTTAAATCTGATCTCCACCCTTCCCTTCAGTGTTGCACAGTTCTCAGTCAGTCTCCTGGACTGAAATTGTTTCCTCTGATATCACTGCACACTGGGAGCTTCTCACAATCTGCATTAGAAGCTGCAGCGAGTCAAACAGAGCCTGCCCCATTTCCAGGCTGGAGGACATCAAGCAACATCTAGCTCTTTCTTACCCAGCCTGACAGTCCTTGGCCTGCCCCTTTCATTCATTGGATATCAGTTCTTTCAATCCTGGAGGCTCAGCATCACATGTGGGCATTACCTAGGGTGGTCTACATTCAAAAACAGCCTGCTGAGGAACACCCACCCATTAAGGCATTTTAGCATTTGCATAACTCGTCCCAAAAGACCAGCTCACTGCTTGCATCAGGGCTGAGGGCACTTGAGAGGAGTACTAAGGCAGAGGGCTGTGATGTTTTCAGGAAGCTACTGACAGCACCCTGCCGGCCCTTCCCACCAGCAACGATCTGCCAGCGTTGCATTGAGAAGTACAGAGACCCAACGATGATGTCACTGGGTCTAAAATAATAACATTTCATTAGTATGTTGATGAAGGAAGTAAAGCAAAAGATAAGTAACTTTAATTTTAACACAGACCACATGCAAGATCAGGAAGATAAATCATTACCTGGGGACAAGGACATTTTTGGAGGCCATTCATATAGCCTGCTGTTACATTTGTAGGTTTTCCAGCGGTTTATTGGAGCTTTCTCACTGGCTGGAATTTCTGGCACCACTTGCTCATGGAGGATTGTTTTTTCTTCTTTTCCCGCCTTTAGCTTGTCTATCGCCTGTCAATGGCAAACAAACAGTTATCATATTCAAACATTACAGAGATAAGCGCCTAGTCTATGACCTGACTGAGACTCTCACGGTCCCAGTAAAGACTGTGAACTATTTACCCACCAGTCATCAGGGCGTCACCTCTGAAATGGAGAAGCAAAACCCTGCCACTACTAAGATGGGCGCTTCCACATAGAGACACAGTACAGAATAAATGGTAATCCAGCCAGTAAAATAGTTTACAATGGGAAACTGCTTGTGATTAGACATGTGCCATTCGTTTAGTTCCGAATCAAAATTCATCCGAATCCTAATGCATCCGAATTTCCATTTCCGGATCCTGTCCATATTTCGTTCAAAAACAAAACTGAAGCAAGCATGTGACTTTTTTGGCCAATCAGAAGTGTTTTTCGGTTTATTGCATCAGAATGGGTCTGAACACAAATTTTCATTACGGCAACATGGGAGCCATCTGATTGGCCAGAAAAGTCACATGCCGTAACGAAAATTTGTGTTCAGTATATACATGTAATACTAAAGCTGAGGCTCCTAACCCGAATGGCATTCGGGATCCGAATTTCCGAATTACACTCGGGAGCTCCCGAATGCCATCCGAGTCTGGGAGCCTCAGCTTTAGTAATAAATGTATATGGCTCCCAGACCCGAATGCTATTCGGAAATTTCGGATCCCGTATGCCATTCGGGTCTAGGAGATTCAGCTTTAGTAGTAATATCTGTATATGGTTTTATGTGGTATTCGCAACGAATATACGTTCGTAAACTCATCCGAAACTAACTAAATTTGGATTTCGTCCGAATCCGAACCGAATTTCGGATCCAAATCCTGAAATAACTAAATATCTGAACCAAATTTTTCCGCAGCTTACATGTCTACTTGTGATTAACCATCCCAAAATACACACTACAGACCCAGTTGAAGCTCAAGAGCTGCAACATGTTACCATTTTTGTATTACCCGTCATGGTGGGGGGGTTCCATCAGGGAGCATTTTCTACATATTTCATTAATATAAGTGTATTACAACATAAAAAACGTGGATAGTTTAGGACAGGACAAATAGTTGGTTTAGATATCCCCAGCAGGGACACAGACAACAATAAAAACCTGACAGAGATTCCAACTCTATAAAAACATATTTTGACTGGATTTATGGAACTTGTCTAAAGTCAAAATATATAAAGTAACCTCTGCTGAGTTATTGCTCAATGAATACCTCTATAACCGCCATCAGATTGAGTCCGCTAGCTTGCTCATACAACAAGTCCAGTTCTGATAAGCTGGATATTGGAAGCTGTGACAATAGTAGGAATTGATGAATATGGCTGAATACAAAGCCATCCCGGTCTAGGAATATCCTTGTTCTATCGGATTCGGATAACAAGCAGGCCTCTCGATATAGTAACGAATGGGGAAAAGAAGCCAGTTTAATCTTGGGTATGGGGAAGATCCATGCACCAGCATTAATGTAAAAGAGTTCATCGTCTTCATCTTTTGGACCTCCCTCTTCCTGTATAGAACAAGAGAAAAAGCAATTTCTTTAAACCAGAGTTGCCCACCCCTGGTATACATCTACTATTATAATATAATACATCACAGCCTGTCATAGTATATATCTCCTATCAAAATGGATATGCTTAAAAAAGTTAGGGCACCCAGA